TTGGATGGATGGATGGATGGATGATGGATGGATGGATGGATGGCTGGATGATGGATGGATGGATGGATGGATGATAGATGTTGGACAGATGGATGGATGGATGTTGGATGGATGTTGGTTGGATGATGGTTGGATGTTTAAGCATAATATTTAATATCATCTTGCAGTTTTAACAGATGATGATGATGATGATGATGATGATGATGATGATGATGATGATGATGATGATGATGATGATGATTAAAGTCTTCATGATGAAGAACTCAGAGTTCTGCAGATGTTGGACCTTGTCACAGGTTCTGGTGCCGACCCGTCCTCAGGACAGATTCTCTCTCTGCTGCTGATCCTACAGATGGTGGTTCTGTCAGCAGAGAGACTGGATCCAGTTTTTACACCTAGAGTCCTGCAGCTCCCAGTGTTCCCACACTGACACCATTTCACTTAATCCATCAAACAACAACACCTGAGGGTCTATGGAGGTCCTGAGAACCTGAGGGTCTATGGAGGTCCTGAGAACCTGAGGGTCTATGGAGGTCCTGAGAACCTGAGGGTCTATGGTNACATGTTAGCATGTGAACATGTTAGCATGTGAACATGTTAGCATGTGAACATGTTAGCATGTGAACATGTTAGCATGTTAGCATCAGCTGGGATTGTTTGGTCCCATGTTTACACCTGCTCAGGTGCAGAACATCAGGTCCACCTGCAGAGTTCAAATAAAGATTCTGGACCTCATTGATGTTTTGACACAGAAACATGTTAGAATAAACTCTGATACCAGAACCAGCAGGTCCAGAACCAGCAGGTCCAGAACCAGCGGGTCCAGAACCAGCGGGTCTAGAATGGTCTCCAGTCTGACTTGCCCTCCTCCAATCAGCTCCTCTGTTTACAGAATAAACTGAACTGAGCTTTATGGTTAATAAAGTTCAGCAGGAAAACAAACAAACAAACAAACAATGATCAGACAGATTAATAATAATTTAATATGATCAGCACCAATCAACAATCAGACCCATTTAACTGATCCAGAACCAGAACCAGTCCTCTGCAGAGCCGTTAGGAACAAACTGACTTTATTATTAAGATAAAACCAGAATCTCAGAATAATAAACTATAAATAATTATTAATCTGGTTAAATAAACAAAGTTTCTGCTTTAAATGATTTCTTCCAGTTTAAAGTTATTTGACTGAAAATTAAAGCTTTTTATTTTTATTTACAGTCAAAGTTGAACTCAAACCTGCAGAAACTAGTTTTATTGAATAAAAAACGAGTCCGGAGCGGCTCGGCTCGGTTCGGTCCGGTCCGGTCGGGTTCTCACCGTGCAGTTGGCAGCTTTGCTCTCCAGACTCTGCAGGGTCGGACTGAGCCAGCAGAAGCCCAGGATGAAGAGGCTCAGGATCCCGCAGGCGATCAGGAACAGACCCAGACGGATGCTCTTGTCCTCCGCCTCGGAGTACTCGTACGAGACCCGGATCTTCGCCATGGCAGCCCGGAGGAGCCGAGCTCCGGCATGGAGAGGAGAGGAGGAGCAGCAGCAGGAGCAGCAGGAGGATGAGGAGGAGGAGGAGGAGGAGGAGGAGGAGGAGGAGGGAGAGAGGGGGATAAATGAGTCCTCCTCCTCCTCCTCCAGCGAGGCTCCATTTTCTGCCTGATTTAAAAAATAATCTGCTGTTTGATGAAACTTTCCCTCAGAACCAAGTTCAGTCAGAACAATGAGCTAAAGAAGCACAAACAGCTAAAACCAGGATTAGCAGGTAAAACCTATCAGAGCAGCTAAAACTCTGCAGTTTGTGTTTCCTCCCAACTCTGACAGAAACACAGCTGAGTCTGAACTGTCCCTAATGACAGGTCTCATGTGTGTCCCTGTCCCTAGGTGTCCCTGTCCCCAGGTGTCCCTGTGCCCAGGTGTCCCTGTCCCCAGGTGTCCCTGTGCCCAGGTGTCCCTGTGCCCAGGTGTCCCTGTGCCCAGGTGTCCCTGTCCCCAGGTGTCCCTGTGCCCAGGTGTCCTGTCCCCAGGTGTCCCTGTCCCCAGGTGTCCCTGTCCCCAGGTGTCCCTGTGCCCAGGTGTCCCTGTGCCCAGGTGTCCCTGTGCCCGTGTGTCACTGTCCCCAGGTGTCCCTGTGCCCAGTGTGTCCTGTCCCCAGGTGTCCCTGTCCCCAGGTGTCCCTGTCCCCAGGTGTCCCTGTGCCCAGTGTGTCCCTGTCCCCAGGTGTCCCTGTCCCCAGTGTGTCCCTGTCCCCAGGTGTCCCTGTCCCCAGGTGTCCCTGTCCCCAGGTGTCCCTGTGCCCAGTGTGTCCCTGTCCCCAGGTGTCCCTGTCCCCAGGTGTCCCTGTGCCCAGGTGTCCCTGTCCCCAGGTGTTCCTGTCCCCAGGTGTCCCTGTGCCCAGTGTGTCCTGTCCCCAGGTGTCCCTGTCCCCAGGTGTCCCTGTCCCCAGGTGTCCCTGTGCCCAGTGTGTCCTGTCCCCAGGTGTCCCTGTCCCCAGGTGTCCCTGTCCCCAGGTGTCCCTGTGCCGAGTGTTTCTTGTCCCCAGGTGTCCCTGTCCCCAGGTGTCCCTGTCCCCAGGTGTCCCTGTGCCGAGTGTTTCTTGTCCCCAGGTGTCCCTGTCCCCAGGTGTCCCTGTGCCCAGTGTGTCCCTGTCCCCAGTGTGTCCCT